CCCCCCCCGGCCGCCCCCGCTCGCCGGGAGCTCGTTTTCGGCGTCAACTGTTTGATTACGTCGCGACTGGGGAGGCGATAGTTCACTCAAAGAGTGTCGACGATCGCGCCGAGTCCAAATTCCGCTGCAAACAACTTCTTCTCACTTCGCCCGGGCTCGCGAGCACTGCTCCCCTGGTGCCACCTCGGAGCAAGAATGAGGATCTGAGTGCGGGGTTTCTTATATTATTTGTTTTTTTCACCTTATTATTTTCGAGGAGAGAGGTAAGCGAGTGTAGTTCGCCATAACTAGAGTTCCTTTATACCCTGAGTTACGACATCTCAATTTTGGTCGGGCTTCGTCAAGGCTTGGTTGGGCTGGCAGTGGCTTTTGGCTCTCACTCATGGAGTCACAAAGAGAGTCCATCAAGATGGTGGCTCAAATGTAAACAAAAATAATGAAAAAAATAACCTATTTGTGATTTATCAAGAGTAAATTGTTACTTTCATCGTACCAAAATGAAAATAGATTGAGAAACTATTCACAAATCAATCTCATTTTATTTTATTGCAATTCCTTTGGTTAGGTTTTGATCAGTTTTGTCGATGTTGTTGTTTTTGGATGACAGACATCACAATATTCCTTATCGTTATACCTTAATATCGTTCGTTTGGGTGCACACTTTTGTGACGCCATGGCCAGCCCAGGCCAGCTAATAATCGAGATGTCTTAACTCTGGGTAAGGGACTCTAGCCATAGCTTGAAGGCGTGGATGAGTAGCCGAGGACCACAAATAGTTGCGCGCAGTGGTTTTGCCACTTTTGCTCACGATCAGTCCCGCAGAGCTCTCATTTCCCGGAACTAGTCCCGAATTACGGAACTTTTGAGATTTTCCTGAATTTTCTCTGGAACTTTTGAAATTCCCGAAATGTATCGGATCTTTTACATTTTCCAGAACTCCCCCGGAACTTTTGAAAAAATAAAAAAAAATCCCGGAATTTTTGACGGTCATAGAATGGGAGAATTTAGTCTCTGGAGAATTTGGAACAAAAAAGTTCTGAAACTCGGAACTTTTGACGGACATGAAAGGATAGCACTGCAGTGCCGGCAAGAAACTCACGTTAAAGTCTCTCTTTTTTACACACTTCTCATTCTATCGATTTCGCTTCAATAAGCAGGGTGGCAACATGAGCAGCTTTGAAGTACGAACAGTTGCGTGCAGAGGTTTTGCCACTTTTGCTCAGTCCCGGCATGGAACATTTCCGAGTGTTCTACCTGTTTTTCTCTCTTTTAACCTTATGCATGTTTTGTTCCCATATAATAGAAGAAACGAGTAACTCAGCGTGGAAGATAAAAAAATACACAAAAATAGCTCGAACCTCTCCTTTTATTTGTTATTACAAATTGGAGTCCGACGATTTTGATTTTATGAGTTTTATATTTTTGTTTCCTAGTTGATAAAGGGTTTCAGATCACCCCGAAACTTCTCAGTCTGGAATACTAATTTTCGGATGTATTTCGGAGCTTATTTCACTTTTTCATCAGCGTTCAAAATGCATCCGTAAAAATAGTGTATTTCCTTCGGAAAATACACTAAATATTCCACATGAACAATATTCCGTGGTCCTGGGTTTAAAACCTTTTCGTAATTCTGTCAAAAAACCACGCAATTTGCGGCTCCATAAATTATTATTGTAGCATTACTTTTTTTCTTTTGATACCATGCATGGAGATGGAGAATTACAATCATTAAAAAAAATCCACACCAATGGTAAGCTATTTTGTTCAAACCAATCAATAAAAGGTTTCGTTCTGAATTGCTGCATTTTGTATGTCTTCA